TATGTGTGTGTGTGTGTGTGTGTGTGTGTGTGTGTGTGTGTGTAAAATGTTTGCGCGTATGTAGGAAAGTATTATGAGAGTGAGGACGAAGAAGAGGGAGAGAGAAAGAGACCGAGAGAGACTGACATCAGACTAAAAAATTGGTCTAAAAATTGGATGATCAACAGAACCTAAAAGCTCATTCATAAAGGTCTCAGCAAACTAAGGTTCCGACGCGTTTTCTTTGATATAAGTCAAAAGCGGGTTTAAAAAAAAAGGGGGGGGGGATTTACAGCATACACCTAAAAAATGTAAACGTTGACATAATTGTTTTCCTCAACACCACATTTTAACCTGCACCCAAGAAACACGATTCAAGAGAGGGGGTGAGTAATTTTCGAGACACGTGGAGACGTCTATGATTTGTTCATGTGAACAAGCTTATAGACATTCGGCAGGTGAAATCAACAAACTTACGCTGAAATGTCAGGGCAGGGTGGTGTCGCCGTCTCAAAATGAGCAATTAGTTGGATAGGTTTCTGCAGATCAAAGTAATTCATTTTAGTTATAGTGATCCTGAGTATGCATCCATCTTTTTTTCCGTCGTTGGCCAGTAGAAGTACCATGCAAAGTTTTGTGGGTATAAGTAAATTGATAAGTGAGCTAGATGTATTATATATTGCGGACAGAAAAAGGCGAACAAGCTGTAACAGTACTTGGCCACAGACAGACGCGCGTAAAAATTAGCCCAATATAGAAAGCAAAATTATGGATCATTGGAGTGAAAACTGAAAAAAAAACTTATAAAAAAGCCTATGCATAATTATATGAATAAAGTAGAGGCTAAATGAGGAATTAGAAAACTACCCCCTCCCCCCCTAAAAAAACAAAAAAACAAAACTACAACAACAACAGCAAAGGGATCAACAAAAATACAACGATAACGAACTGCCCAACAAAATCTCATAACCAATAACAAAAGCAATTATATGAATGCAGTGTCGGTAGCCCAGTGGTAAGACTATCGGAATCGTAAACAGGAGGTTATGGGTTTTTGGGGTTTCGAAGCTCAGGCCCGACCGTGTGTCCTTGGGAAAAGCACTTCATACAAATTTGTCCTCACTTCACACAGGTGTAAATGGGCATACGGCCATACACAGGAAAGGGGAACGTCAGTATGTTAGTATTTCGGTGCCTGTAAAATGGCAGCTTGAACTGTATGCTTCCCAAAAAGGTAGAGATTGTTCCAAACAGTATGCTCTCAGATCTGCTGGGGTAATACATCTACGAGTAAATGTAAAATAGACTGTAAAGCGCAAAAAGCTTGCCATTGAACGGGAATTTACCTTTTACAAAAAGCTATTTATTATCAATATAATCTACCCAAACTATCAATACATGAACATAATGTAGCTTGTTCACTTTCATCTGTCTACGATTAAAGCGGGGTGAGACAAATAACTCTGTTTGATCTTCTCAGGTCTTTGTTGCCGGTCTGAAAACGTGTATGACAAACAGATTCTAAAAGCCCATTAGATCTAATGAAGGGCACTGCGAAATGAGGTTCCAACACACTTTCTTGGTTAGCCTAAAAGGGATTTAAAAACAAGGTATTTTCAGGATACACCTTAAAAATTGACCTACTTCTATTAGCACCACATTTTCACGAAACGCCTATGAAACTATAACTATTGAAATGCGATCAAAGAGACGGGTGAGTAGTGCGTACTTTTCAAGATTTACGAGGTGGCGCCTTTAGCTTGCTCACTTTCGACTGTCGCGTTAAAACATTTTTTTTGTGCTCATTTATTAATTATTTGCCAGCGCATATTAACCCTTTGAACCATAGCCAACGTTACACCGATGGTGCGTAAAACTGCCCGTATGCCTATAAGCCACTGTATACCAGTGAGTGAGACCCCATCCCCAACTGGCCCCGTCTGAGACAAAATGCGTGTGGGAAACCGTGTTTACTACACAAGGCGTCATTGACTAGATCTAGTTTAAAGATCTTTCGGAACTATATGCTAGTAATGACGAAGTCTACCCTGAGTAGGATACGGAGAGTGATTGGGGGCTCTCGTGGCCTAGAGGTTAAGGTGTTGGCCTCTCATTCAAAGGTCCCGGGTTCGATTCCGGGTAGCGACCAAAATATTTTCTTCTCTAAAATTGTCTCCTTTCACATCCTTTCCTGATCTCTAACAATGTTCTGTTGTCTGCTTTCATTTCCAATTTCTGCCCCCACCCCCTCACCTCCTTTGCCCCCTCCTCTGGGCTCCTGACTCTTCTGCAGCATTTCTACTGCTACTCCTTGGCTCCTCCTAACTGCTGTCTTTCTGCCACACCCCTGATCTTCTGGTAGAAAAGATCTACACCTAGCCTTCTCGGACAAGGGCGAAAAATCTCGGAGGGCCCGTGTGCAAGTTGCGCACGTTAAAGATCCCTTGGTGGTCTAAAATCGATAAGAGTAGGCTTCGACCGCCACCCGGGCAAAATTCAAAATTTCCTACCAACGAAAAAGTATTAGGTGTGTCCCGCGCGCTCATATGACCTTATGCAGTTGCGAGCGCCGTAAAACCCTATACTAAACAAACAAAACAAGGACAGTGATTCTGACGATTATATAATGAATGTTAGTAATATATATTATCGCTCAGGAGCTCAGGCAGAGGGGCACAGTAGCCTTAGGAGGTCAGGGCTCAAAAGGTTAAACTTTGCACGGTACACCTATAGACGAAGGAGGGGGCAGGGGTGCTACGCGCTTACGCTTAAATGTGGGGGCAGGGTGGTGTCACTGCCTCAACATGAGCAATCCGTAGGCTAAGTTTCTGTAAATAATTTATTTATTGTAGTGATCATGTGTGCACCACAAGTACAAGGGTGTCATTTAATATTGGACCCAAATAAAGAACCTTTATAATCCAATTACTAGAACACGATTTTTAAAAAGTATAGACTATAATCTTTGTTTTTTTAAGTCGCTGGCTTATAACATTGTTAAATCAATCATTGTTTAACGTGGATAGATGAATAAGAACAAGCTATCACAAAAACATGACAACAGCGCTTAAAAGTCGCTCATGAAGACACTTTTTAAAACCAGCCATTACAAACTGTTTTGGGGCGGGGGGGGGGGGATTATCGTGGTCTAAAGGTACGGTGTTCGCCTCTCATTCAATAGGTTCCAGCTTCTAAAAATATTTTTTGCTCTCTAATTATGTGCGATCGTCTACTTTCGTCTCCACTTTCTGCCCTACCACCCGCCCCCTCCACCTCCTCTGGACTTCCTGACAATCTGATGTTTTTCTACGGCTTTACATTGAATCTTTCCTACTGCTGTCTTTCAGCCACACCCCTGATCTTTGGGTAGGTAAGATCTAACACCTCGCCCTCTCGGTTAAGGGAGAAACCAATCTCGGAGGTACCTTGCGCAAGTTGCGCAAGTTGCGCAAGTTAAAGATCCCTTGTTGTGCCTAAAAATCAATCAGAGAAGGCACCGACCGCCACCAGGGCAAATTTTAAATTAGTGTCCATCAAACTGAAAATGTGTCTCGCGCGCTCATGTGAATGCAGTTGTGAGCCACGTAAAACATTTTTAACACAAAAAAATTGAAAAATTCCTCTCCTCACTCGTGGGAAAAGAAAAATCTTTTTTTAATTTTTTTTTTTTAGATCCCACCCATTGTTGAGCACATTATGTCCTGTCAGGTCCAGGAACATGAGATCAGAATTATGCGATTTGGGCCAAGCTACTCACGTTCAGCGAAGAGGACACGAACTCCTGTGGGGTTGTGAATTGTGGTTCACTCAAGCGAAGAATGGTAAAACAATACATTTTTATTAGGTGGGGTTTTTTTTTACCCTTTCACCCCTACGCTCGAGAGTAGATCTAATTTTTTTTTGGTCTCAAGTTTATCCAATTATAACCCGTGAAAGTCCGCCTATAAATACCGTACATTAATTTTGCGTACCGCCATTGCCAGTGGGAGGTTCCCCATACCCGTGTCGAAGACGTAAGCTAGGCTAGTGTGCATATTGGCACTTTGTTTGGGAAGGTGGTTCTTACTGGAGTAATTTTTGTGTGGATTAAACCATGTCGAGCGGAGCGGAGGACCCAACGATTGTAGAACAAAAGCGTCGTGAGTTCGATGCAGTGCGAACTGACCACTTGAAACGAAGACAGTTGTACGAAGACCCAACGTTCTTACCAGTAGACTCGTCCCTTTTTTTCAGCACGCCACCAGCTTTTCCTGTTCAGTGGTTAAGACCAAACGTAAGTTACCGTTCCAGAAAAGAATTCTCAACAGAGTTTCTCTCTCTTTCTCTCTCTCTCTCTTTCTCTCTCTCTCTCTCTCTGTCTGTCTCTGTCTGTCTCTTTCTCTCTGTCTCTTTCTCTCTTTCTCTCGGTCTCTTTCTCTCGGTCTCTTTCTCTCTCTTTTTCTTTCTCTCTTTCTCTCTTTCTCTCTTTCTCTCTTTC